TATATATATATATATATATATATATATATATATATATATATATGAGAGAGAGAGGGGGATCCACGAGCAGACTGTTTCGCTGTATCAAAGCTCCTCAGTGTGGCTAGACGTCCGATTATTTCAAGCCGCGATCGAAACCTAAACCATGGCCAACGTTTTCTCTATACAAAATACGCCAGCGGCTCAGAGAACGCATGTGCGGAAATGTCTTGATGATGAGAGCTGAGGAAACGTTTAAACAGATGACAGGATGCAGTTTGGCTATTCTCAAGGAACATTTCGAATAGCAGAAAGTGAGATTAAAGACCAGATGTGTTTCGCTTCTCTCCGCCAATACTGCATAAGAATAAATTTATAAAGGAAAACACGTAAGAGCCGTTCGTGTTAGCGGCGACCAATTGTGGAAAAAAAAATGATGTTTGATGGAAACACCGAAAGTTTCGATCGCTTCAATCGGCACGCAGTGAAGCGGGAAATAACAGCAGAGTCGTGGCAGTGATGGTTTTCCTTGTTCTCTGTGCGCAAACACTTCCTGAAGAAGGATTATGAAAATTGAATTCGGCATTGCGTCAGCGAATAATTCTCTACTGATCTGTGAATAATTTCACTGGCAATAAGTTTGTCATTTGAAACACTCCCTCCCAACATTATTTTCTTTTTAATCTTCCTTCCCCACCCCTTACGTAGTATCATTTGTCGGACTTTTTTTTTCTTGGATTCTTCTTCCTCTTAGCTTTAGCCATGTCATTACACAACCGATGAGTATAATTGTCTTGTACTAAGAGTAGGGAAAAAAATGATGAATAATTGAAAGGAAAATGTTAAATCCATTATGTCATGTTATTCGACACATAAATTAAACCCAAGCTAATTTACATACTAATTTACACACACACACACACACACACACACACACACACACACACACACACACACACAAGACGCAAAATTTAAAAAAAAAATACACTTGCTGAAATTCGTTTATTACATATTGAATTGTGAAACACCGTGTCCTCCATAGCTTGCCTGAATTTAAAGCTAACCTGATGACTATGAGCGTTCTTAAACTTAATCTAAAACAAATGGTATGTATATATATATATATATATATATATATATATATATATATATATATATATATATAT